AGCAAAGCTGCTGAGTCCGGGCAGCCTGCTTAAACTAATCTTTACCAGCCGCTGAAAACCTCAAGGTTTGAGTTAGAGAGAGAGAGAGAGTTGAGGCTTTCGCGATTTCTCCGCCTCTGCATTGGCGGGCTGAGCCGGAGGCTCCCAAATACAGGGATTTCTGTATATATATATACACACATGTACATATTTATATATATATCTAAGGATGTATAGGGATGTATTGGGGATGTTACAGGGGATATGTATGGAAATATAGGGCTTAGGATTTGGGGCTGATGGGTTTGATGCTGTACTATCGGTGCTAGCATTGGTATTGTCAGTGTCATTATCATTGAGGCATTCATGCTTTACTCTGTTGTTCAAGCTTTCCAGAAGTTGATAGCGTCAAAGATTTGTAGAAGTTGCACCCCTGACAGCTGTTAACCATGCAGTTATTCACATATTATACTATATTAATATACTAGAATATATTATATTGTACTATAATATACTATGCTATACAGATTGTCATGGATGACTCCGGACCTTCCCAATGCCGCAAAGGCTCGGAGAACTGCACGAAAGGAGGCGTTGAAATGCTCCAAATCAGCAGCTCCTAAAAAAACAACCCGAACCTCTATGTCCAACCTGCGGGCGCCTTTTTTGCTACTGGTAGGGGCTGTGTAGCTTGAAAAAAACCACCTGCGCCATGCATGATTATGTGTCTGTAGCCACAAAACGAGTGGCTGCGGGCAACAAGTGACATGCACACTTCAGGGTCATCCCCAAACTGGCCCGAAGGTAGGTACTCTGTTTGGTTCTGATGTCCGTGTAAGGATGTGTGCTTCCCATAGGCTTAGGGTTCAGGGTTCGGGGCATCGTCCCTCCTTCACAAGGGCCAGTAGAACAACCCTACGTCTCAAACGGAGCCCCTCAGGTAATGGGTATTTCGCCAGATCCCCAAGACCCCGTGATTCAAGGAACCTACTTACCCGGGGTTTAAGGTTTAGGGCAAGGATCCCTAATACGTCTCATGAGACATCATCTTACTTTGATGGTATTGGGCTTCTTGATAACCCCATTATAGTAATTTCCATTTATTTTCCATTATGCCCGTATAACCCCGAAAATTCCCCAATATAAACCCAATATTCCCCGAATAGAAACCCAATATTACCCAACGTTAAGAGCTTCGCAAGGCTTCACTCCAAGAATTCAAACCCGCCCTCGCCCTTAACTAGATAGAATATCAGGTAATATTAGGGTTATATTAATATGAGGATAATGGAAAGGAACATGGAAGCTTCTGCCGTGGGTTATATATGGTATAGAATATGGGGTATGTGGGGATCTTGTTATAATATACCCGAAGCGATATGCTATCTACTTAAGGGAGACTATATGTCAAGGGCTTGAGTACTGAGTGCCCTTTGTTTCGGCTTACAGCTTGTCCTTATGGGTACGGTATGTGCCTTCGTAAAGGTCATTAAAGTTCATCCTGGCGCAACATCATACATTCTTGAATACCAAGCTCTATGGGCCCAAGTCGAGTGGGTGGTTTGGAGGGGGCTTTATTTCGCCGAGGACTCACATTCCAAGACAGGGACGTCATATGCATTATTTACTACACCACGGGTTTCAGCATACTGTTTTTGCATCGCATCCTGATTGAACTTCATCTTCTCCCTCCCAAAACAAAGCGACCCGGGCGGGCAGGCTTGTTTTTCTTATCGGCGGGTTTAGTTCCCGGGGTGCCGCTGTAGGATAGTGGTATCAAATAAGTCCGAAGAACACCCTTCCTGGATCTCAACCGATAGAACCAACCCCTAATTACACGCTACTTAAGCTCCTCTTGCAATCAAAGCTCTCAACTTAACGGAAAACCTGCGCCCGAATGAGGCCCGGTAAGCGTCACCCACCATACGTTCGTCATTCATTGCGATCCCCTAACTAACAAAGAACCCCGTGTAACTCAGGGCACTCTTTGGTCAACCTGTCAATTTGGGGGATGGTGCATAGGTTCGCCTTCAATGCTACAGACTAGTTTAGGGGTTTAGGGTTTAGGGCTCGATTTCTGTGTGCCTTAGAACGTAGACCCTGTGAATAGCCATAGTGCCATCGAGCGAACTGCCCAGGGCTTCACTGAGCCTACTTTCCTTTCCCCGCAAGGTATGCTATGTTTACGCAGGGGGGGGGGGGGCGGAACCCCCGAATTGTAAACTTTTGTTTTACAATAGTAATGCCAAAACAATGTGCGAAAACTCCAACTCAATAGGAATTCGGATGTGCTACCAAATGTATGGGATTCCTCAAGTTACGCACCATTCCTGTCCCTAGGGATATATGGGGTCAGAACAGGAGTACCGGGGTCCCTCCAAAGGATTCTAGAGGGGCGGACTTGAGAACCTTCATCACACGCCCTGAAACACTCAAGTCCGTCTTTCAGGCCCTTTTGAACGTCTAGTCCTAATTGGAAAACCTGAACAACATGGACAAACATCGAAGCATGTGATGGAAGCCGGAAGCCCTCCGCAAAGCCTAAACCCCAGACTCCGCAAGCATTGAACCTT